CAAGTAAGACTCCAGAGGAAAACAGACGGTAAACATTTTGCATTTTGATTCATTTGATTGATTGATTCAAAGCATCAAAAAGCAAATAAATATTAACCAATGAGGTGCACAGTGACCCAGAAAATAACCTGCTTGTTATTGATCTACTGTGTGAATTTTCTGGTAATTTTACGCATATCTGAGAAGTTTTCTAAAACCTCTTATCATATTTTGTAGGATTTTTTATTTATTTATGTAGCTGTATCTGTTTTGATCCAAATAATAGCTGCATAGGCTGAGAGAACGGTCTTTGCAAAACCAGTAAAACGGATTTAATCAGACTTCATCGAGGCCATAAAAGCAGAAAATATTTAATAAGATCAGGTTTGGCCTCAGAGATGCTGCCAGTTGAAAATGAGCTCCTTGGATGTTATTTATTTGGCAGAGAAAGAATCAAACATTCAGTGAATCGGATGAAAGGTTCTGTTTGAAAGTACGTCATACAATATTTAATGATGGATTTTAAGTACTTGTTATATTTAAACCCAATTGGTCCTCATTACTCTATGAATTCAGTTGAGAGCATTTCCTTAAACTATATTAAAGAACAAACTTTATTAAAAAGAAATTCTACATTCCTGTTATGCTAATTATCTTTTTTTATTCCAACAAATCTTTATATGTACACAGCTATGATAAAATAACTTTTTAGTATCGTAGTTTGGCTGTAAAAGTGAAGTTTTGCATCAGAAGGTCCAACTTTGCAGATAATCTGTTGCATCACTGGTTCATCTGAACCAGTTCTGACTGGTTCTGGCATTAATATCTCTGTTGTTGTGGTCAAAATTGTTCCAGATTTAGTCTGGGTGTGTTTATGAGCTCAGCATTTAATGTCCTCCTTTCAGTTTGTTTGAGAGCCACATGATTCATTTGTTCCATTATTTCGGTTCGGACTTGCAGAGCTTTATTACTCCTTAGGTTGAAAGAAGGACCAAACCCTGATTGTTTTTGTTCTTTCCGACTTTCAGACACTGGAATTGGATTCAGCCGCTGTCTTACATGTTTCTAGTTGCTTTGTGGCTAATTACTGGGATGTTTGTGGGAATCCGTTTTTATTCTCTGTCTTGTTTTATATGTTTTTGCTTGCAGGAATTAGTCCGGTATTTACAGGCATGAACCAGTCGTCTTCTTTGAGGAGAGATTTTGTAACAAGATTTTGCAGGAACAGTCCTGGAAGATCGTCAGTGCCGTTTGCAACACGGCGTTATCCACACCGATCAAACAATTACTCTCTTGTGTTGTTCAAGGTTAAAGTTGCACATGTCTGAACTCATGTTGCAATCATTTGATACTTCTAGTACCTTTCATAGACATTCTGGCTCCTCACAAATTAATAAGTCACATCCTATTCTTGTAAGTATCATTAGTCTATGTTACTTTGTTAACCGTTTTAAAGTAACTAAGACTGATTAGGAGTAAAGCATCTTTAAACAGTTAGTAGTTATTTTCAATTCTCTCTTGCTGCTTATTGTGATTCACAAGCTAAAAACTTTGCAAAAAAAAAAAATTACACTAGCAGATCAGACAGATGAGTTGACAGCCTTGCTGATCCAGCAAATTAATGCTGATTTTTTTAGTTTGATCATCCACAATGTAGCTTTTATTTTTTCACTTGAAGGAGATAAGGATAATCTAAGGTTACAATATACTGTATGTCTTTGTATTTGAAGAAGAAACTGCATAATTAAGTTGCTGAGGAGGCAGGAAGCAGACAATGCTGATCAAGTGAGGAAGCACGGTTTGCAGCGGGCTCTTAGATGTAAGCTAGGCAGCAGATTCGTTAGTCGCTAAAGAGCAAGCCATGGAGAACAGGGTGGACTATTCACTGCTATATAGTGTGAAGCATGGAGCTAGACCAAGAAGCAAGGGTTTGCTCTCCATAGCAACGTCACTGTATCCTGCTGGACCCACTAGCCTTGCTGGTAACTAAAATCCCTTCAACCTGGCTACAGAGCAACAGAGCATTTTATGAATTTCTTAATTTAAAACCTGAAGGATTCATTGAGGTAGTGGCAACCAACTCATTCTAAGGTAAAGTTTGGTTAAAAAGGAGTCATAATGCAGGCAGATGGACAGTTGCAAATGTTTTCTGGTGGGTTTCTAGTACCTATTTGGTTTAGAAAGTCTTACAAGTGTGGCTAGACCTTCTCTATCTGCTTCATTAGTTTATATTGCAAAAAAAATAATAAAAAGAATTATCCATACATTCACCTTCATCTTCCGCTTATCTGGGGTCGGGCTGTGGGGGCAGCAGCTTCAGTAGGGAGGCCCAGACGTCCCTCTCCTCACCCACTTGGGCCAGCTCCTCCGGGGGAATCCCAAGGCGTTCCCAGGCCATCAGAGAAACATAGTCCCTCCAGCGTGTCCTGGGTCTCCCCCTGGGCCTCCTCCCGGTGGGAAGGGCCCGAAACACCTCACCAGGGAGACGTCCAGGAGACATCCTAATCAGATACCTGAGCCACCTCAACTGGCTCCTCTCGATGTGGAGGAGCAGCGGCTCTTCTCTGAGTCCTCCCCGAGCTTTAAAAAGCTTCCTGAACCAAGCTTTATTTGATTTTGGTTTATTTCTTACAACTTACAGAGGGGCTATACCTTACTTGCTACCAAAACGTTCTTATTTTAAAAATAAAAACTGTGCATTTGTGAGACCTAATTAGGGTAGAGAGGCTAAAGTGAAGTGATATTTACAATAAACTATTTGCAAGTGTAATAGTTTCTGTCTTTTTGAACTTTGGGCCACGTATTCGGTGACCCAAGTGATTGCTAAGAGCTAAACCCAGTAATCCAACAGATCAGAGTCATGCTTAGAACAGAGTATCACCTCCAGCTCTCAGACTTTTACATTAAAGGGTGAAAACATTCAAACCTGTTGTCCTCTTAAAGCATTGCTACACCTACGAGCATTATGAGCAAATAACGCCAGATTTGACACTTTGACAAAATGTAACAGGACATCCAGATGCTATTTTTCGAGCAGGAGCAGACATTTTTCTACAGTATTAATCATTAATCATGATTGATGTGGCAGCCATATTGGACTTCGAGGTCGATTTGTATTATTTGGCAATTAGAGGCATTATTCCAGCTGCACTCCTGTAATTATTGTTAAATAGTCCTACCTTAGGCACACCCTTTTTATTTACGTCATGAAAATGCTGTAAGGTTTGTCTCAACCAGGTTGGGAAAATAGCATTTAAGACCAGGAATCTGCTAGAGCAGTTATTTATTTAGGTTGAAAAAATTGCATTTTATGGGAGATTATTACAGATTAATGTCTCTTGTTTTTTAGGCTTTATTTCTTAATTAATGTCCTATAAATGTAGACCCTCCCATATACGCCCCCCCCCCCCCCCCCCCCCCCCCCCCCCCCCCCCAAAAAAAAAAAAAAAAAGCTGAGTCGAAGCTGAGCAGATGTTGACCTTGATAGATCTGATCTCCACTCAGCTGGAGTCATGTTTATCCAGCGCCTGCAAGTTGAGACAGGATGTGACTTACAGATATGATAATAATACTGACATGATGGTGCTGAGTGTCTGTTTAATTGTTCACAAGATAAACTGTACCTTTGGACAATAGGAGTTAAAAAAAACACCTATTGTGTTCAAATTATTCAACCAAGGAATTATTTTATGCATTTAATCTCCATCTGTAATACGGTCTTGATATGTCAATACGTTGTGGGCTTGAATGTTATTCCGTTTGTGGATTTCAATGATGTATGTAAACTTCATTCTCCTGAACAGGGTCAGTATTACACATAGAGAGTGTATTATTTAAAAATAGCCTACTTAAATTTCAAATATAAGCTCAATCCTGTTCACCATCAAGCTTCTGGAAATATTTTATCAGGATATTTGACCATTATATTCCACTGAGTTTATTAATATCAGCCGGTTTCCCGCTAAAGATGAGGCTTTTAAACATTGTCCAGCGCTTAGGTAAGGCTGTTCCAGATGTTCTAGCTGTTAAATTGAGGTGAGGGTAAAGAATTTAGTAAAAGCTGAAGCCTTATTAGTTCATAACCACTGACAGCACAAAACTCCCACAACATGATGCTATAGACTGTAAAGATTGGAAAGTGAATCATTTTGTATTTCTTCTCGGTAGAAATCTGCTGAGTTGGAAAAAGTCACAAATATCAAATCAGTTTTGCATTTTAACATTAACTTTCTACCCAAATATAAATATAAAGTATCATTGATGTGGCTGCAGGTCTGCACTGTAAGATCCAACCTGATGGTGGCCCCTGTCGGAACTTTCACAGCAGCTTTGTTTTGCTGATGCTGTCCTGTGACGGATACCAGAATATCATGTTGCTGAGAATAAAACCTCCTCCCGGCTGCTGTCGGCGCTTCAATCCTGCACAGATATGAGCCAAATTTGAACCTGTGAGCCATGAAACTCAACTTTCAAGTTTTTAACAGTACAAGCAGAAGATTTGTGCAGAACATTAGTTTGGTCTCTTCCATTTGTTTATTGAACAGCAGTCTTTAATTTTACATAACAGATAAAACTGGGTTCAATTGTGACAGAAAAAGAGTTGTTGGTACTTGAATAGAGAAAACATTCCTTTGTGACAGTCCGACCATGAACCCATCACATGCTCTGTGCAGCTTCAGGCGGGGTTTTCTCAGGAGGTGATAACAGCCTGCAGAGCAGCAAGAAAGCTGAAACTCAAAAAGGAAACTGTTCCTGAGGGTGTTCGGTCTTTTAGAGCAATTTTGTGCACCAACTCAGACGTTTGCACACATTTTGGGGAAACAGAGCCCCGCTCTGCAAACACTGGGGTCGGTCACATGGCCTCTGGCTATGGAGAGAAGGCTGTAAATCTCCCCCAGCCTTCATTCCTGCTACCTCCTCCCTTCCCCTCCACCTCATCTATCTCCCTGTGTTTTTTCCTTTTCTCTACATATCTTTGAACCTCTTTTTGATTCCCTCTTCTTTTTTGTGTCCCTTCATAGATCTCCAGCGTTTTGATGCTACATTCCAGAAGCTTCTGCTGACCTCAGAGGACCAGACTGCGGACAAAAATCCCATTTTTCATTCTTTTATCTCATGGATATGGCTTTTCTGTGCAGGAGGGGAAGAAAGTGGGAGCTGATTTGAGGTCAATGCCTTTCTCCTCTCACCTCTGAGTCACAAGTCAGCCTGAGGAGCTGCTATATTTACAGGGAGAGACCTAAATATTCCCCTGGCATATAAACCCTTGATAGATTTCTGCATAAAGAGGCATTGAATTCAGTGAGCGTATTTTCTAAAGAAAAATGCCAGCAAAGACACCCATCTACCTGAAAACTACGACCCCTAAGAAAGGTAAGAGGCAGAAGCTGCGGGACATCCTCTCAGGGGACATGATCAGCCCCCCGCTTGGCAATGTTCGTCACAGCGCACACGTAGGACCTGAAGGCGAGGGGGACATGTTTGGGGACATCGGTTTCCTCCAGGGTAAAATGGACATGCTGCCATCCCTGAGCCGGCCGCAGAACGGCCACGCCCACTCCCACAGCGTGGAGAGACACATAGGCGAGGGGTTCGCTGCCAGACACGAGGCTCACAGCTACGCCTACAATGGCTTCCACTACCAGCACTCCTCCAACGGCCTGCTGAAAAACACGGTTTCCATGCCAGTTTCCATCGCCCACGAGCAGGCCCCGCCCAAACCGCCGCGCCTCCACCTGGATGACCACGCTCCTCCCCCTCTGCAGCCTCAGCAGCATCCTGAACCAAGCCAGTATGACCTCCAGTCGCCTGGTGTGGCTTCAGAGCCCTGCAGAGACATAGCCATCCCTCCAACCATGCGCAGGCTCGTCCCGTCCTCCGGCTCCTTCTCCGAGGTCTCCTCTGAAGACTCCATGTCTGAGATCTGCGGGCTCCAAGATGTTCGCCGGGGCCTTAGCCTGGACTCTGACGCTGGCCTGAGCAATGAGGACCTGAGGAGCGAGCAGAGCGACTCACCCTGCGCCGCCTTCCATCCGGCAGCCATCACAGCCTCATCTGGGGTGCTGCGGTCAGACTCCATGGCCAGATTGGACCTGGATCTAGGCCCATCCATCCTGGACGATGTCCTGAGTATCATGGACCGCTATAAGACTGACGACAACCGCTGCGAGCTGTGAGGACAGAACTGCGATGCTGACATCTCTTAACATGCTCAAATATGTTTGGTGAAAATAATGGATGAAGGGATTCATCTATTCTGGAACATTATGAAGTGCAGGACTATTGCTGCTTAAGACACTTGTTCAGAACCTAAGCCCATCATGAAACCTGAAAAATGCCTCCAGAGGACTTACTGCTCCCTTTTCTGCTCTCTTAATATTTAAACATGCGATAAAGACACTCGGAGTGACCTGGGAAACCAAACAGATGCAAATTTATTATTAGAAACTACTCTAGATATACACTCACCGGCCACTTTATTAGGTACCCTATGCAAGTAACGGGTTGGACCCCCTTTGCCTTGCCTTCAGAACTGCCTCAATTCTTCGTGGCATAGATTCAACAAGGTGCTGGAAGCATTCCTCAGGGAGTTTGGTCCATATTGACATGATGGCATCGCACAGTTGCTACAGATTTGTCGGCTGCTCATCCATGATGCGAATCTCCCGTTCCACCACATCCCAAAGATGCTCTATTGGATTGAGATCTGGTGGCTGTGGAGGCCATTTGAGTACAGTGAACTCATTGTCATGTTCAAGAAACCAGTCTGAGATGATTCCAGCTTTATGACATGGCGCATTATCCTGCTGTAAGTAGCCATCAGAAGTTGGGTACATTGTGGTCATAAAGGGATGGACATGGTCAGCAACAATACTCAGGTAGGCTGTGGTGTTGCAACAATGCTCAATTGGTACCAAGGGGCCCAAAGAGTGCAAATAAAATATTCCCCACACCATGACACCACCACCACCAGCCTGAACCGTCGATACAAGGCAGGATGGATCCATACTTTCATGTTGTAGACGCCAAATTCTGACCCTACCATCCGAATGTTGCATTAGAAATCGAGACTCATCAGACCAGGCAACGTTTTTCCAATCTTCTATTGTCCAATTTCGATGAGCTTGTGCAAATTGTAGCCTCAGTTTCCTGTTCTTAGCTGAAAGGAGTGGCACCCGGTGTGGTCTTCTGCTGCTGTAGCCCATCTGCCTCAAAGTTGGATGTACTGTGCGTTCAGAGATGCTCTTCTGCCCACCTTGGTTGTAACGGGTGGTTATTTGAGTCACTGTTGCCCTTCTATCAGCTCGAACCAGTCCGGCCATTCTCCTCTGACCTCTGGCATCAACAAGGCATTTCCGCCCACAGAACTGCCGCTCACTGGATGTTTTTTCTTTTTCGGACCATTCTCTGTAAACCCTAGAGATGGTTGTGCGTGAAAATCCCAGTAGATCAGCAGTTTCTGAAATACTCAGACCAGCCCTTCTGGCACCAACAATCATGCCACGTTCAAAGTCACTCAAATCACCTTTCTTCCCCATACTGATGCTCGGTTTGAACTGCAGGAGATTGTCTTGACCATGTTTACATGCCTAAATGCACTGAGTTGCCGCCATGTGATTGGCTGCTTAGAAATTAAGTGTTAACGAGCAGTTAGACAGGTGTACCTAATAAAGTGGCCGGTGAGTGTACATCTCCACTGCAGAGCTCATATCTGCCTAATTCAAAAACAGCTTTATGCCATCTTCTGTCCAATGACGTCTTCTCAGAGTTGCAGGTGAAATGTGACTAACTTTAGATGTTATTTTGTCAGATTTCAGTCGCTGCCTGCTGTTACCAAACAGCAGCAACATCTTTCTGACATTATTCCATTTCTTTAAGAAAAGAATCTCAGGATCTCTATTTTTGGTTTGGAAGCTTTAGGTGTAAGAAAATAAAAACAGATGGTGTCGATCACACTCTGCTTAAAACGCCCTACTTTGTTAAGGCTTTCTTTCAGCCTGCCTGACATGGATTTTCTTCATTATCACAGTAGCCTACCATTGAAATGTCATTTATTCTGTATATATCTATGTAAATCTAAAATAAAGATATTCAATTTTTTGAAAATCAGCGTTTATGGTTTATTATTTTGTATAACAGTCACAGTCTAATAGAAAAGATAAATAAAGTTATTTTAAGTATGAAGCAACAGTCAAGTTACCAATCTTTGGGAGATCTCAGACAACTTTCAAAGGGGTCCTCCTGCAAATAAACGTAAGAAATATTCAAGTGTTTATGTATTTAGCTGTAGCTCTAAATATTTTCTGTAAACAATTATTACTCATCTCAAAATCCATCAGGTAGCTCTTCTATCATCAGTAACAAAGTAGGCTGTCATCATTTCAAATCCAAAATCAGTTTGTTCCAGATTTTAATCAAGGAGCCTGAAGAGTGAGTGCGATTCCCTTCTGTGTCCCTGCACCTCATCCAACACGTAGATGCATTACAACTTCTATAAAACTGTTGCTTTAGGGTAATAAACACACTTTTTTTTAACAGTGTTTTCTTTAACAGTTTTCTTTAACAGTGTCCTGTCTGGAAATGTGGCAATAAGAATAATTGTCTTGATGGCAAAAAAAGAGCCCAACAAGTTTTGCTTTCAAAAGTGGAGCAGTACGGCTATCGCCAGTGTTCTGCTTGATTTATGTGTATAAATAGCTTTATTATATATAATTCATGAAGGGAGTATTACAGATTAAAACACAGTTTTTCCAACTGAACTCTTTCCTGTAGATTGCAGTAAAGGTTGAAGCAGTTCTACCATATTTTTTTAACATTATCAGTTGAGATTCCTTCACCTCTCCACCATTCATCAAAAAGCCTATAAATAGTTGATCTACACTGCTTAGGGTAAACATGAGAGTTAAGTTATATCAGAAATAGAAATACAGTTTTTATCTACATTTGAAAAAAAGGCATTGTGGTAGATGTAAAGATCTTTCCTCAGATTATATTGTTTTTTATTCCTTGGAAGTCTCCTAAAGTACTCTTAAGGAATGAATCTAAATATTCAGTTACACTGTGACACACTTTGGGTATAAATTCTGAGTCAAAGGCAGTCCATCATGAGAGATTGTAACTGGATGCTTAGATTTATTACGCACAAATTTAAAAACCAACAAATTAAAAAGAACATATCAACACCTCCCATATACAATATCAAGGCCATTCAGATTGTTTCCTACGTTCAGTCAAAAGAGATTTGAGTTTAAGAGCTGTTGAAGGACAGTAGTTGAAGCACATGATGTTTTTTCTTGGTGTTCTCTGTGTCCTGAATCAGTACAAACACATCCAGGAACTCTTGGGCCTGGATGGATTGCTTTGGAAGGGACAGATGTAAACAGATGTCATCAGCATATAGTGTCATGTTCTTTTAGATGAATCACAGCAGTGATATTATTTGTCCTTATTGCCTGGGAAATAAGAGTTTACAGTTCTGTCAAATAGACCTTGACAGCCCAATGCAATCTTCCAAACATCCATATAATTTGACTCTAAGAGTAGGGGCTGATTATGGTGTTTTAATAATATTTATTGGACTTTCAGAATAAATAAAAAAATCTTTTAAAAAAATCTAAGCCTATAGCTGTCATGATGGGTTCTCAAAGAGCGACCCACGTATGCAGAACACCACTGATGGACACAAGGATAAAAGTTCAATAAGTTTATTTGAGTGCAAACACACAGAATGTACTGGTTCTGGCTCGGGCCTGGACACTGGTTCACCGGAGTCTGCGTGGGAGACAGTTCAGTTAGCGCTGCAAGCTGAAGCTTGATTTTCTTGAAGGTAACAGATTGTACCTTGAGGGTTCTTGTGGTTAGCTTTGGGAGAGTCACTGTTGGATCTGGAGAGGAGTTCATCAGCAGAGTCCGCTTGCTGCTTCAGCGTCTCACGTCTTGTAATGAACAGACCTTGGCTTAGGGGTTTCCAGCTCTTAGTCCTGAGCTGCATGGAAGTTCTCTATGATTCTTCAGGTTTGGCTCAGAGGGTCGGCTCGGCAGGTTAGCTCTTCCAGAGCTTCACGAAGGAGACACAGGTTTCCTGGAAGACAGAGGCAGTGATTAGAATCCTGGCTGGATTCAAAGTCACAAAGTTTCTCAGAGAATCTAGGCTTAAGCGCTGACCAACTAGATCAACACTGCGGCGTTGAGGCAAGGTCTGAAGACAGCTTATATAGTGGATCCTCTGATGATCTTGATGGGCTGCAGCTGTGCAGGAGGCTCCCTCAGAGGATCCACGGCGGACTCTGCTGGAGAAAGGTGGAACCTCTCCAGCTCCCAACAATAGCAGCATAACTATAGAGAAAGGTCAGGATAGCTTTTTATCAGGATAGCTTTTTATCATAGAAAAGGCAAGGGTAAACTAGCTCCACAGGTGTTTGTTTAGAAAAGAAACAGTTAAGCAGATGAACTGTTTGAATTTCAAAATGAATGAAGAAGAGTACATACATTAAGTCAGAGTAAAAGCTGACTGGATAGCTATGTCTAGGAGAGAAACAGGGCTTAGCACTCCCTTAAGCACAGTCATCTCCTTTTGTTTCGTTTCCATTCTGAATCAGATGATTGTTTCAACACAATGCCACAAACCATTTCATTAGCTCCCTGTATGACTGCAGAGTCGTCTAAGTATTTCCACAGATGATGGGATTATATCTCCTACTGGAATTTAAAGGTTTACAGAGTAAAAAGGAATGGTAAGAGTACTTTCCCCTCTGGTCCTCTTCTGCTGCCGACTTCTTAATTAGACAGATGACCCTTGAGTCACAAAAACTGTGTCAGGTAGTCTGTCATCCAAGCAATTGCTGATACCTCAGACTGAGTCTTCTGGAGTTTCAGAAAAAGTCAATCATGCTGAACCATTTTAAATGCACCGAAGAAATCAAAGAATGGAGAGAGGATAAAGTAAAATAAAATACTGCAGAATTGGAGAATAGAAGTAGCAGAATAATATAAAGTAGTCCCTATGTCCTCCAGAAGCCTAAGCCTTTAACAGCAATAACCATAGTGATCATGATAATCTGAGCCACTCTAAATATAATCTCATTTTAAGAGTAAGCCTAGTCTGTAATGTAGACAGGGTGTCTGCTCCCAGAGTCTGGTTAAAGAGTCGAAGAACTCATAATCTGTGTTGCTTCATGTCCAGTTTAAAGTTTCCTCTCTCAGTAATTAATGATTTTGGTGCCATATTCTTTGCTGGTTCTGGTCCACATAGTTTTCTGACAGCACAACCATCTGCCATAATGTTTTAGAGCACTTTATCCATCTTTCTGTTGACAAGCTGTATGGAGATGTGTTGTCTTTTTTCCAGCAGGACCTGTTTTTGACCAGCATTGCCCAAGAAACATTTGATAACCAGGGTATTTTTGTACTTAAATGAACCCATTTAGAGAATCTACAGTCAAGAGGGAGATAAAAGTCA